AAAAAAAAAAAAAAAAAAAAAGGGAAAAAGTTAGCAAAGCTGAAGTGAGGTCAAGAAATAAAGAAAATGTTGGGTTTCTGTATTCCAAAAACATGAGCAACACTGCTAACAAAAATCCCATTTGAAAGTGCTTTCTGGTTATTTTGCTTTCAGTTGTGTTGCAAAAGGGGGTTTTGTTTGGGTTTGTTGCTGCTAACAAAAATCTCATTTGAAAGTGCTTTTTGGTTATTTTGCTTTCAGTTGTGTAGCAAAAGGGGGTTTTGTTTGGGTTTGTTTTGGGGATTTTTAATGCTAAAAGCCAGCACAGTACTTGTGGTTGATAACAGAAATAGTTGTACAAGGCTTAGACACCCAGAACTGTAAATGAGGATAACTAAAGGTACATCCCCAAAGTACCACACACCAGCTTGACTCTCTGAGAAGCTCATTTGCCCTTTGCTCACTGCCAAACCCTAAACCCCTGACCTTCAGAAACAACATAAGCTGCTGGGATGCACTTGTAATTAACATAGAGTTTATGTATCTGCAGAACTGTTTTCTTCCCTGCCAGTCAGAGGTTCAGCCTTGTGTTGGACCCACCACCAGTGACCTAGGGCAGACAGCCCATTAACTCACACCCCTTCAGGTGCATCCAGCTCAGGCACAGGAGCAAAGCCAGGCCTGGGGAAGGAGAGGAAACAATCCCACCCAAGGACAGAGCTTCCCCTATGCCATTACAGCACCACTCACCCACTCAAGGACTTTAACAAAGCCCAGAGGCTCCAGAAGAATGCCAAAGCTCATCCTCAAGCCAGCCATCCTGGGGAGGACCAGAGCAGGAAGCAGAACAGCCATCTACCCACTCCTGCAGCCTCCTCTGCACCTCCTTATAGAGACACCCCCTCCCCCTGCCACACCTCCTCACCTGGGGATGGGGATGGTCCCACCCAGCACCACCTCAGCTGGAGCTCTTCAGCCCCAGACATTGCCTGTGGGGTAGAAAATGGGGCAGAAACTGTCAAAGGGGTGAGCAGAGTTGGCCACTTTGTGCAGTGAGGCAGCAGTGAATTCTTCCCCTTCCTCCCCAGCACATTTTGGACAATCATATATCCCATACCTTGATTTTGGGCTGATAATTTGATGGCAAACAAGGCATAGGCACTTGACAGTTCATGTTCTTGCTGAAATCTCATCAACTAACTTTCAGTTTTTCAGCTTTAATTGGTGCACTTTTTGGTGATTGTGTTTCGCTGCTGCTGTGTTAATCATCAGTGAAGCTGAAGAGCTAAAACTCTGCTGCAGAAGGACTGAGGGCTGTGAGAGGGGCTGCTCTCTGCCTTCTTGCCTGGCCAGAGCCACAGGCACAGCACTCACTGCTGCAATTTCCTGGCTCTGGTTCAAGATCCTCTTGAAGCTTCTTCTGGGTTTTCTGGGGGACTCCAGGGAACCCTCTGAGGATCATGAGAGTGCCTGATGATGCTCTTGGAAAGGGGTGGCTACAGGAGGCTGTGGCTGCTTCTAGCAGGATCTACCTGACCTGGCAGCTTATAGCAACATCTGTGAGTGGATCTTGGCCAAAGGTTGCTGGGAGGTTTTGTCCCAGCTGAGACCTGGCTGGGGTTGGGTTTACTGCCAGACAGCCTTGCAGCAGCTGCTGAGGAGATGCTACTGGAAGAGTTGGCTTGGAGTGCAGCTCCTGGGGGTAGTTAGTGGGTGCAGCAGCTTGTGCCAAAGGGATCCAGCAGCCTCCACAGAGCAGCATATGCATGCTCAGTGCTGGTGGTGGTGGTGCTGGTGGTGTGCTGCAGGTCACAGTCCCTGCACTGCTGGGATCAGCTGTCCCTGCTGAGGGATGGTGCAGCTCTCCAGTCCTGATGCTCTGTGGACCAGAGACTGACAGGTAAGGAAGGACTGATCAGGGCTGTGGAGGCTGGAAACAACCTTGACTGGGTTTTCTCTGTGACAGATGTCACTACTGTAATTAAGTCGTGGGAGACCAGCCAAAGGTGGGAATACATGAGGAAGCTTCCACCTTGGGGACTACATGTGAAAGTCTCAGTCTTTCAGCTGGCCTGGGGCTGCACTGCTGCAAGACACTGGTAACAGAGTCTGATGTTCATGCAGCTCAAGGAGAATTTTTGTCCTGAGTTTTCTGTACAGTGACCAAAAGAGCTGCTGACATCTGCCTGCTGCTATGGGATCCTGGAGGCAGTTCAAGCTAAAGCTGCGGAAAGGATGGCACTTTCCTTTCTTTCCCTGCCATGTTATATACTACATGAATCTCATAAAACATCCCCCATGATCCAGACAAGCAGTGCTGAGGGTTCTAGCCACCTTGGTTAGCTTAGCCAGTGCCTTTAAGGAGTAACATGGGAGTATAAATAAAGGGACAGACTAAGATGAAATATCTATTTGCTCATCCTCTCCACATCTTCCATGCCCGAGAAAATCTGTTCCATATATAAATGGCATATAAAATCTTAGTTCAGCATAAATGAACCAAGTAACTCCCTGCCCTCCAATATGTCTCTGTAATTTTTTTCTCTGCCTTCCTTCTTCCCCATATCCTACTTAAACCCTGCAAATGATCTATCTCCTTAAAAATACATATAGGCACTTGTTTGATTACTCTCCTTTTCCACTTGCCAGTTAGTTAAAACCATTTAATTACTTAAAGCACTTTAAAAAATGCTCTCAGTCATGATTTATATGTTTTTTCTCCCACAAATCTTTTCAGATGTCCAGTATGGATGTACTTTGAACTGTATACAGTGTTCTAGCTGTGGGCTCATTAATTCAGCATTGGAAAAGAGTCTTCATTTTTCACTCCATGTAACTTATTTCTCTGCTGAGGCTAAGAGTATTTTGGAACATTTCTACTAGTGGATTGCATTCCAAAGTGATAGCAAACATTTAAAATACAGACAGTCCTTCCAAAAGGCTAATTTCATAGCCTGAATGGATCAAATCTCTGCAAGGAATAGTTTAAGCAGGAAGAACTGTATAGTGTTTAGGAGCATTGAAAAACCCCACTACAGAAAAAGAGAGTTATTTTGATTGGAAAATCAGCTTGTCTTAGAGAGAAAGTGACAGAAGTATAAAAGCTATAGAACAAATAGGGGAAAGGGGAAGCTGATAATAATATAAATTAGAAGATAGCCTATTGCAGGAAACTGATAAGAGAGCAAATGGACCACGAGACCAGTACATGGTCTACAGGTTTGCAGACAGCTTGCAGACACAGGAGGAAGAGAAGAGCTTATACCCAAGCAAACAGACAGAAATCATGGAATCAACTAAAAGGAAAAAAAAAAAAAAGAGAAGAAAAATAAGGCAGGAACAGCCAATATTGTGTTCTGTGTCAGGGAAAAAGCAGGACAGTATTAATATGCTAATCATGTAATAAATCCTTTGCACTCCAGCAGGGCTCAGGGGAGTGCTGAGTCACATCTGTTCGAGCTGCTCTATCATTGTCAGTGCCCAGCAACCCCAGTTTGGACAGGGCTGATAAAAGAGCTCTCTTAATATGGACAATGATTGCCAGTCCTCGTTGAATCACTGGGTGAGCTCCAGATGTCTGAATGCTATGGCAATATTGGCCTATCTGTTTATCTCTCTTCCTAAGAAAAGAGATGGAGTGCAGAACCCTCCTGATAGAGAATTAAATTAGAGCAATATCACTAATGTCAAGCTACACAGTCACTTGGGAGTCAGTTTGTGCTGATTAGCTGATGCTCAAGCTGATCAAAAGACTGGGCTGATAATAATTGACACTGTAACATACTTCCAGGTTCTGTGAGGTATTTGGCCTGGTATTTGATGAGTCTAGAAGAATATAAACCTGATGTAAACACTGATGTAATTAGAAAGTAGGGAGCTGATTGCTCTTTAACTGAAAATCGATATAAAAATGATTTCTCAGTATACTGAGTCCCATGCTTGGGAAAATAAAAAAATGGACAAAAATGTGATGTTTATATAGCTGGTCTCATGGTGTCAGACAAGGCTGTGGAAGAAATCAGTGGGATTCCTGGCTGCCCCAGAGATGTGTCTGAAACAGAGACAGCAAAGTGTTATGCCCCTGTGTGAGGAGCCAGTGAGACTCCCCCAGAGCATCCTGCAACAGTCTCACTTACTAATGCTTGTAATTCAAACTACCTGGATGACTGAGGGTCACACAGACCTCATTCCTAAGACTGAAAGAACTTGGGTGGTTTAGCAAACTGGAGGGTATTCCTGCAGGCTTGAAGTCCACAAGGGATCCAGGGAAGGCAGAGATTGACACTAAAAGACATTTTTACCACAGAGGCCACTGCATGTAATCAAAGAATATAATTTGTGTTGAACATAAAGTGTAAGTATGAGATTCTGGAAGTATCTTCCAACAGAAAGCAAATGCTGGAAGTTGTTTTAGAGGGAGTTCAGAATATTTGCAGTATTGCTGTTTGTGACAGTGGTGGGAAAAAACCCTCGATGGTTCATGATGTTCTTTGCCCATCCAATCCCCTACACAGCCAAACAAGGATTAATTCTGGGAAGTCCTGAGCTCTGTGTTTATAGATAAAGCAAGAGTGGGTGATTAAGTTAATACTTATCTGGCAGGGGAGGCACCATCACACAGGGCTGCTCTGGCCACACCATTGTCTATTCAGCAGTTCTGCTGTACCTTTGGGAGCTCCAGGTGGGCAAAGTGCTTTTCTTCCTCCCATACTAAATACACCTCACCTACCACATAGCTGTCTACAGATAGTTTTCTGTGATGTAATGGGCTGCACTTTGTTAGCTGTCTGTTTTCTGCATCTGCACCATTTTATTTGCTTGTGCATTCTAATGTTTGTGATGACCCAGAAAGGAAGGTGAAGCAGCAAACTGGAGTGTCCTGTGAAAGCCTGAGGTGCAAGGGTTTACTTCTCAAACCATGAGCATCTCTCCAGGTTGCATGAGAGATGAACTCTTCTGTAAACAGCAGTCACTCAAGACTACAAGTGTTTCTACCTATGCCTGGCTTTCCTACAGAACGAAAAAACCTGAGCCTCAGTTAATTACCTCAGGTCCTATGACAGAACAAGGACTCTGTATTAGCTATGAAATTGTCTCCTGGTAAAAGCTGGTCCAGAGTCTCAGTTAGTGCATGTTAACTTTATGACTGGAAATATTTGATATTGGCATCTTTGCTCCTTCCGTTACTTCTTTGTAACAAAACTGATTAATTGTTGGATTTTTTTGATTTTTGCCCTCTATTGTTTTCTTAGTTCCTTCAAGGCTGCTGGCATTGCTGAGGAATTAACACCAGTAAAAGGGGAGTTTGCATATGCAAATTTTACTCCCTTAATTAAAATCAGGAGCACTTGATTACACCGCTGAGCCCCAGAGCTGCAAATATGCAAACAAAGGTTACATGCTCAGAAAGGA